TTTGTTAGAAGCAGGCTTTTTATAGTCCACTCTGACCAACATGGTCACCACCAAGCACGTGGGACTGACCAAACATAGAATAATTAACATGAAATGAAGTGAAAGATCAGTTCCTCAGCCACAGGAGCCATGGTCTCAGGGCTCAGCCAGTGCGTGGCTGGAATGGGGTGTTTCTGTTGCCACAGGACGTCCGTTGCCAGCGTGCTCTCTGCTGTCGAATCATGAAGACTGTTTTCTGTCCCTGTAGTTACCTTGGGCACTCCCGAAGCCACAGAAGGAGGGGCAGGGCCCGCTGTACAGGTTCACATGTAGGGCACCTCGGTGGTGGGAGTGGCACTCAGGAGATTGGACGGTTATGTGTTGTTGATCTGCCGTCTGTTTCCCGGCTGTGACTGAGTGACAGGGTCCGATTTGCATTTTAGAAAGATCACATTTGCACTGAGATGTGGGCAGCAGGTTGGAGAGAGAGGGTGCAGATGCAGGACCACCAGCCCTGAGGCCAGGGGGCAATAGCAGGGGCAGTGGTGGGGGCCGTGGCAGTAGCAGGAAGAGCTGTGGCTGAGTTTGCATCTTGATTGCTCAATGGGATCAGAAGGACCAGGGTGTGTGCATGGGCACCTGCAGCAGGAAGGGGTGGCAGAGATGTTCCCAAAGTTTCTTGCAAAAACAGCAGAATGGATAATGGTGGTGTTTATTGAGGCCTATGCCACTGAAGGAGGAGCAGATTAGGGGTGAATGGTGAGTGTGGTTTTAGAGAGCAGCTGCAGGTACCTGTGAGACCTTTAAGGGAAGTGGCAGTTGGGTGTATGCATCTTGGCCTCAGTGGTAAGATTTGGACTAAAGATACGGAGCAGGAGTAGTCTGTCTGTGGAGCATCCTCATTAGAAGGGATGCAGGTGCTGCTTTGGGCTGGTCTACAGGGACTGGCGAGCCCAGGGGTAATTCTGGTGCACGCTGGAGTGTGAGAGGCACTGGTCCAGCTTGTGTGGGCATGAGCATCTAAGGCTGAGCCATGGGAGAGGGACCTCATTGAATGAAGAGGGAGAAGCCGAGTGGGGGGGCTGAGGGCGTGTAGGCTGCCAGCTGTCTCAGTGAGGCAGAGGCAGAGGCGAGGTCAGCAGCAGGTGAAGGAAAGCAAGGGTGAGATTAGGGTCTTGGAGCATGGAGAAATGAGTTGTGAGTCAGCCAGGGATCCGGGTGAGGATTGCTGGGGAATGTGGGGCCCACTGTGGAATGTGGTAGCTAATATTTCTCACGGTTGCGTACGTTTCTTTAACAGGGCTGGGAAGTCAGGAGTGAGCCGCCAGTGGACTCAAGAGGGTCTGGTAGACGTCAGGGGGACTGGGAATCCTAGGGTATTATTGATACCGGATTGTCATTAAAGAAGTAGACTAGTTCACTGTAGGGTCAGGCAGCTGAAACAGGCTGGTGGAGGGCACTGGGCCCGGGACGTAGAACAGGTTAGTGGGTGGACCGTGTCAGAGAGGGGGAAGTGTAGGGCAGTGCACATGGGGGCAGCAGGAGAGTGAGCTTGTGTCACTGGTGATGACTGGAGGTGGTGGGAAGGATTTGTCATCCAGGTACTTCTGTCCTGAGAAAGATGGGGCGGTTTCTATAGGTCTGTGCCTGGTGGGTGACAGAGATGGGACATGGGTATACGCCAGCATTAGAAGGCAGTATGGATTTAAATTTTTACTTTATTATTTTTTAAAATATGTTTGTATTGATTTCAGAGAGAGGAAGGGAGAGGGAGAGAGAGAAATATAAACAATGAGAGAGATTCATTGATGGGCTGCCTCTAGCACACCCCCTACTGGGGATCCAGCACACAACCTGGGCATGTTGCCCTGACCAGGAATCAAACTGTAACCTCCTGGTTCATGGGTCGACACTCAATCACTGAGCCACACTAACTGGGCACAAGGTGGTATAAATTTAATTCCAGAACACACGTGACAGGTACACTCCCCAGCCGTGGAGACTCCCAAGGCCAAGGCAGTAACTTGAGTCAGTGCGGCTCACCTTAACATTGTGTGTTCTTGGCACCTGACCCTGTGCTCAGCACGCCACAGATATTAACTCATTTCATCCTGTAACAGCCCGGCCAGGCAGGGGTGTTGTTAAATAAACCCATTTACAAAGGGGAAACTGAGGCACACAAGGTTTAGTAATTGCCCTAAGCTGTGCTGCTGGTAGTGATGGAACTGGGATTTGAACCCTTGCCATCTGCTGCTAGAGCTGGGGCTGTTCCCAGCTCACTTACTGTCTGTCTTGTAAACTGAATGGGGATGCTTTTAAAGGTTATCCTTGCAGGTGCAGTATCTTGGAAGTTAATACTTTTACAAAAAAAATAGAAAATTAAACATAACAGTTGTTCTTATATTGTCATATGTGTCCACTCTAGAAAATTTGGAAAATACAGAAAAGCACAGAATACAGAAGAAACCTAGTTCCTTGTGGCTGTGGTCCTAGCAACAGGACAGTCCCTTCGGCTGGCCTCTCAGGCTTGCTGCTCCACAGTCACCAGGACACCCTTCCTGCTTCTCCTCAAGGAGAGGGATCTGTCTCTGAGCCCGTGGGGTGTCTCAGTCCCTTCATAGCTCACCCCTTGACCAGGGTCAGCATTCGCCGGGGACCATCCCTTCTCCCACCTGCTCGAGCATGTTCACTGCCAGACCCTGGAGCCTTCTTATGGCCTCACTCACCCACCCTGCATGGACCCTGTGTCTCCACAACATCTTTTTTGCTTCCCACCCTCGTCACCCACACCGTCCCAACTGCAGAGGCCCCGAGAAGTTGGGGTGTGCACCTGCGAGCTGAGAGGTTGGCTTGCCAGGTGCTGGTTGTGATGGCTCCTGGGTCAGAGACAGAGGACCTCACAGCATGGCAGGCGCGTGAGCGTCTCAGTCCTGTCAGATCCCTGGATCCCAGCCTTAGGGGCTGCTCCCACAGTGGGCCCTTTCCCTGCTGAGGAGCCCCGAGCTTAGGGAGCCACATTATTAGAGTGGGCTGCCAGCAGACCCACTGCCCCTTGCTCTGTAGGCAACATCATCTTTGTCACACTAGACAGTAGCAGACCTGCCCTGCTTCAGAGGACGTCTGTCTCCAAGACTGTGTGCTGTACAGATGTCCTTGGAAAGGAGGACATGAGCTGTGCTGAAATGGGGGAGTCTAGGGAGCCTCTGCTCGTGAGCTGTGCAGAAATGAGGAAGACCATGAAGCCTCTGCTCGTGAGCTCTGCCGAGATGGGGGAGACCATGGAGCCTCACCCCCAACAGAGACTAATGCTTGAAGAAAAACAAGCTTGACTGCTAAAAATGTCTCTTAACAAAATATCAGAGGAAATGTGTAAATCTTACGGAGATTAATTCCCTATATTTATCGTCATCATCTTAACACACTACACTTATGGTTACATTAGAGTAATTGTTTAATATAATAATAACATACTATAAAACACTTCTGCTTGGGCAGCGGGTCTCAGGTGTTCTGACAGCACTTATGACAAGCGTGTTACAACCAGCTCCTCTGGGCTTGTCGAGGGCCGGCAGGGGCTGTGAGCATGTAGCACACACCAGAGCACTGCTCCTTCTGTCTTATCCATAGGCTTTCCACCCAGTAGTTAATGCGGGATGGAAAGATTCTTACTTAGAGAAAACTATTGCCTAGAAAGAGAAAGGAGGGAAAATAAATCTCTGTTGAGGAGTGGTGGGGGCGTTTTGGCTCCCTGCTCGGTGTGGAAGTCAGGAAATTCAGAGTTGTTCCAAGAAGTGGGGGGCATTTGTGACCATTCATACTTCATTTCACTGAGAAGCAGCTGCAGTTACGTGAAATGCAAGCCCCACTCACTCTGGCTCTGCAGCCTCCATGCCCTGGGCACTCGGGGAGCACCAGCTCTCACCCTTGAGCTGTGGTCTGTCCTGCCAGGGCTGCCCGTGCTTGCACTGGGCCACTAGGAACAGCCACTGCAACTCGGAGTCATCATTCAGGGCGAGTAGTGCCCTCACCCCGGTCCTAGGACACGCCCTCCCCTCTGTCCCATGTAGCAGCCAGAGCGGTAAGATCCAAGTGCAGCCTGCTCCTTTAACCCGGAAACTGGCAATAACACTCGGGGCAGAGTCGAAGCAAGTGTGTTTCGGGTCTTTATTTACAACTCATACCTTTAAGTCCTTTTTAGGGCAGGAGGAAAGATTGCATGGTTTACTGATAAACATGGGTGTGCCTGTAATGGTGTTGGTCGTGGTAGAGGTCGTAGGGTAGTGCATCACAGTCTCAGTGCATTTTTACAGTTCGCTACAGCTTCAGTCACTTGGTGACTTTTCAGGAACATAAGGCTGTTTTTGTTGTCTTGTCCAGTGGGCTTCATTTTAAAAGTCTGGCCTCTAGTTTGGCCCTGAGGCCAGAATTGTTTTATATTTAAAGCAGATTGTGCAGAACGACTCTTCATTACATTCCAGCCTCATGGGGTTGGGAGGGTCTCCCTGGCGTGGAGGGGATGCTCCCTCCGTGGTTGGTGTACGTGCATCCCTCTCGGTCCCGCCGGCGACTCGTGGGACTCCTTCACTGCCCACTAGAGGGCGCCGGAGGCCGGGAGCGGCGGGCTTTGCGCCCCTAGCAGCTCCGTGTTCGCCCTGCGCCTGGCTGTGCTCCTGGCTGTGCGCCTGATGGGCCTGCGTTCCCTGACTAGAACCACAGATACAGGTGGGTTAACCTGCTTCCTCGTGGAAGGTGTTAGGAAAGGAATTAGTTGTTTAGGATGATTCTGCAGAATGTTTTTAACGAACAACTTTCTTGCTTTCTTTAGAGCTAATGGTACTTTACATAATTATGAAAAATCAGTCTCAACTTTACAAACTGAGCATTTAGTGTTTTTGTCCTGCTGGCAAATGTAAATTTCCTCCCCTTCCTGAGAGATTTTATGCTTTCTGTCTATAAATAGAGACCTAGTTGTTCATGGGATGTAATAAAATATTAAAGTCCTATCTCTGTTTATTTTTCAGGGAATCCGAGCCCGAATCTTGGAGACGCTGGTCATGCTCGTGCTCCTGGCGCTGCTGATCCTGGGCATGGTGTGGGTTGCCTCCGCACTCATCGACCAGGACGCGGCGAGCAGGGAGTCTCTGTACGGTGCGCTTGACAGGCTGGGCTGTTCCTCCCGTGGTGCCTCCAGTCATACACTCACCCTTAAACATCTGAACAGTCCTCTGTACAGGGAGCCCTTGTTAATTTACAGCATTAAGGAGTCTTTAGTTACCTTTAAGGGAAATGAATGCTCCTGTGTTTCCTGTGTGCGGGCATGTAAGCAGCTTCTCAGAGTATCTTCTTGTGGTTAATTAGTTTCTGTTCTTAAAATTCCATGAGACTTTTTTTTCTTCTTCCAGACAAGTTCTGCAAAGGGATTATTTCCTGTTTTTCTATTTTAGATCTTTTTATTGTACTGTTTAGAAATTACGTGGTTTAGACTCAGATAGGCAGTTAGGATGTTTACTATATATTAATTCACAGTCAGCCCCTATCTCAATGTGCAGCATTTTGGATTTACTAAAGTGCACTTACATCTTCTGTAGATCTCTGGGAGTTCTACCTGCCCTACTTGTACTCCTGTATTTCACTGATGGGATGTTTGCTACTTCTCTGTAAGTATTTTTCTGAGGTAATAGTGATAGAAAAGAGAATTTTTTCTTCTTTGTTCCAGAGAATTATGAGAAGTTTTTCTGATGATATTCCTTCACAGCTTGGAGAGTTTTAAAAAGTTGACCCTTAGCTTTTTTTCATATTCAAGATAAATTTTGATAAACTGAAACCTTGAAATAATAAGACACTTGTGTTCTCCAAGAAAAGCCTCTTCCACAGGGTTGGGAGGCAAGTGGTGGGTGGGTGGGGGGAGATGCACACATGGGTGCACACAATGTGTACATGCTGAGACATACACAGACATACACAGACACACATGTGCACATGTGTAGACACGCACCACCCCCCCCACCATTACAACACTAGACTCTACTTTTTTTTTAATCCCCCCTGAGGATATTTTTTCCATTGCTTTTCAGAGGGAGTGGAAGGAGAGAGGGAGAGAGAGAAACATCATTGTGAGAGAGAGATATCGATTGGTTGCCTCCTGCACGTGCTCCGCCTGGGGCCAGGGATTGAGTCTGCAACAGAGATATGTGCCCTTGGCTGGAATCAAACTTGGAACCCTTCAGTCCTTGGGCTGATGCTCTAACCACTGAGCAAAACTGGCTAGGCTTAGACTAGTTTTGAATGGTAATGATAGAATTGTGTGATGAGTTTGTGGTCTTTATTTCAAAGTTTGCTTAGTTTCACAACATATCTCAGGGGTAGTATAAACAGATACATGTGGTTGAAAGGATTTAAGATTACAGTTGTCACTTTTAGATATTCTTGTCTGCTTCTCAGTTTCACTAGTACTTGAAATTCAATCTTTTCTTTAGCTGTTTTTTAAGTGAAAATACTGTTATCACTCAGCTGCTAGAGGCTCTCATGTCCTCAACCATTAGCCGTCACCTGTCCCTCATCAAGTACAGGAAGGTACCCC